GACTCTCTCTCTCTCTCTCTCTCTCTCTCTCTCTCTCTCTCTCTCTTCTATTGAAGTAAATATAAATGTAATTTTTTAAGTTTGTAACTTTTAAATATATTATTATTTAATTATATATTATATTTTATAATTGTTTCTGTGATGATCTGTGAACAATGGCGATAACTAATTTAAGAGAAGAGAACAAATAATTTTTGTAAGAGAAACACAAAGGCTGGCATCGGCCCATTCGTTAAATCAAGGCAGATCGCTTTATTGCGAATCAAGTTTCGTACGAACGACAGCGGCGTTAAACCTCGTTAGCTACCGAGCGTTGGAAGCCAAAAAAGAGAACGACGGAAAGTTAAAAAGGCGCATACGAGAATTGTTGGTATCGCGTTCATTTTCAGGAATGGAATCCGAACGCCCAATTTAAAGTTGCACTTTCCCGTACTACTCATACATCGTTACTCCATTCAATCGCGTTAAAATGAAAATCAACTATTCTCAAGGGAAACACATCTTTTTTTCCTTTTTCAATTTTATTTGAATACTGCTATTAATTGACATAGATTATATCATGCTGACTGAAAAATTGTAATATAAAAATATCATATTATACATTTAAATTATAAACTTTTCAGCAATTCTTCGTTAATAGTATGACAAACACCAATATTTTCAATTGCTAATTACTGCTTTAATAACTTACTAGTCTGTTTCAAAATGCTTAAATTGTAACATAGCAATCACATAATCGAAAGTTTATAATTCAACAATTATAAGCAATATTTTAAAGAAAAATCTTATTGTATATGTGTGACATTTAATATCATTACGTTTCAGTTACTGGAGCGTCCACAGGGGAAGCTGAGGACCCGCGATGGAGCACGTACAGCGCTCGAAAAACGAGTCGGTCATCGTTGCCGCGATCCTGGCCGTCTTCGAGTTTAGAGCATGCCGCGAGGGAGACCAGACCCTCGAATGGCAAGCTCCTCGAAACTAGCTCTTGGAGCGTGGACAGATCGAGTCCTGGCACTCGATCGGATCCGAGTTTTCTGGGAACGGTGATCGAAAGATCCGAAGAAGACGAGGATGGGAGGAAAATGCAGTCGCCGGGGTGCAATGACACCGAGGACGCGAGGATCGCACGCCATAACCCGTCCGTCTCTTCCAGAAGCAACGAAACGAGCCAGACGGATCCGTCCAATCGGATTTCCATCGAGTCATCGTTCTCTCAGTCGTCGACGATTGGCTATCGTGTCGTGAGGACCTCGCCAACTTCTAGAAGTTCCTACGACGTAATTCGTACCGTAGCTTGTAGCTAGTGAAGATTATTTGAAAATTTAATCAAGATTGCTTTTGTCTCTTGAATGCTTGGAATAATACTAGATATTAAGTCTAATAATTATATTTTCTTACATATGTTTATTTCTCTTATCTTACAATTTGATTTAAATTCTATAACTGAAGCCATAATAATCAAGATTATTAATTATTTCAATTATCATGGATAATTGAATAACATAAAAAAATGTGTATAAGATCGGTATCGTTTTTAATAAATTTTTGTAAAAGCTACACAGATCTTTTTAAACTTAAATATTAGACAAGATATTAAACAATAACGTGGATTCCTCTACGATATCTCTCATCGTAACAACGACATAATAGTCGTAATTACTCAGCGCCGTTTCCAATATCGTAATGCGAGCGATAACTATAATTTAGCGCTGTCGCAATGCCCGTTGCCCAAAGCGGAATCGGGCTTCCATTTAATTAACGGCTTGATATCGTGGTATTAAAGGCTTATAACCCATTGGTATAAATTTTCAATCTTACGCAGTTCAAATTAACGCGACATGCGTGTGTTGACGACAGTTCGCTTCCTCATATCAAAGTTATTTACGCGGATACAAATATCTGTCTTACAATTTTTCAATTTTTGTTATTGCATAAACTGTAAATATCATATATTATTTTATGGATGATGACTCGTATGTAAATTCAAATGTGATCTTACAATGTGTGCAGATAGTGCCAACGCTGGAGACACGGCTATCACCCGAAAGACGCGAGAGTTTGAAAAATACAACATTAACGTCCACCACAAACATCGCCATGCCACGACGGCACATGAGGCACGTCTCGGATCCTTGCGAGCAGTTCGAAATTGGGGATCCGGCAAAGAGGGAATTTTATAGTCCAAATTATCCCAAACCATATCCGAATCAGACGAATTGCGTTCGAGTTTTGGAAGGTAAGTCGTTCTATTATAATAAAGACAAAAACAATTTTCGCTAAAAAGTAAAAATCAACAGACTTCGGAGTAGGTAGACTTCTATCTATAAATATATGTAGAGTTAATTCAAATAAAAATGTAATCTTTTAATTTATATAAATAATTACGTTATAAAACAGAATAAAGTGTTTAATAACAGTCTTTAATTATATTAAATGTATACACATATTATTGCAATACATATCTATGAGATACAGAAATTAATAATATACATTACTTGTGACCACTGAATTAAAAGTCTGTGATTTATAGAGAGGTTACGCGATTTGCATTAATCGAAGATAAATAATTTATCAAGCAATCATGGTTTGTGCGTTAAACCGCGAGTCTCACATCGCCGATCGGAATATTGAGAGAGCAATCATTTTCGCAGCGGTGATTCAATGACCAATAATCGATTTCCTACATGTACATATCGTATCTCTCTGAGAAATCGATTTTTAAGCGAGCTTCGAGAGAACTTTTACAAGATTGCTCGCGGCAAGAACACACTAGCCAGATTTCACTTTACTGCTGCGCATCGTTCGCTGATAATGCGGGGAAAAAAGGCGAGCGTGTTGGAATGGCGAACTCTTTCCGGACGAGGAAAACCTTTGATCCACGATTCTCTGGTATCCCGGGGCAAATGTTTTGAACAAACATCGTTTTCTTTCGAGTGAAATCCCAGTTAAGTAAAGAGCATTAGATCCTTATCTCTTGAACATGAATTGTATAATGATCAAATTATTACTTATATATATGAACGTTATAGTATCACAATCCGCTAGCTTAGAAAAAGATGTCGTGTATGTTAATGTCGCGCATGTTGCTAGATTTTTTTTATTTATTATAATAGCAGTATTGATAAAATCCTAATTTTCTTATGTTTGTCCATAGTCTATATTTTTTTATAATATGATAAATTAAAATTAATATGCGATTAAAAATTGATTTTGCTAAAGTATCTAAAAATTTTCAAATACAGATAATACTAAAATAAAAACTAAAATAAATTTTATTATTCTAATAATCAACTGGAATTTAAAATTTCAATTTTTAAATTTTGCAATATAATTATTACGGATAATTATCGTCTTACAAATAAATTTAAAAATTTAGAATTTTTAAAGACAATCTTTAATGTGTCTTATTTTAAATTAAAAAAAATAAATAAAAAGAATCTTATGATAAACAAGAACATTGTTACATAATTTTCATTTCATTGGATTGAAAAACTTGATACAATAAACTTCAATTATAAGTCTAATTGTACATTGAAACTTCTATAAAACAATTAATTGAAGAATATCGAAATATTCCAATAAATACATAAGTCTTTTCGTAATATTCGTGAAGCACGATGTTCTTATACAAATTTGAATAATCTCCTCATTTAAGTCAATAGCGAGAACATAAATCTTGCAACATAAAAAAAATATTATTTGGAATAATTTATCTAGTAGATAAATGAATTTTTATACATTTTGTAAAAATGCCAGTGTTATTACCGAATAATGCCGAACATGATTGCCAAAACTATCTTCATTCATATTTATTCTATACCGTGAAACTTCACGGAAGTACAGTATGTTCTACCTCGTTTCATATGTATAAGTTTAATGCAACTTCGTGGCTTGAACATGACTGAACTTTCTCGAGGAGTAGGAGAGGCCTCAAGTGATTGATACATCCCGGTGGTTCGGTTCGTTGGGTAAGGATACCGCGAGAAGATAGTAAATTTTCCCAGACTGGTCCACAAAAGATTCGAAGCTGCAAAGCGGAAGAAACGCAGAATGGACTCCTTTATTCCGACGATCACAGTTTTCTCTTTTATCGTAGTGGTCTTTTTCAATGATAGATACGGTTCGATGAAACTTAATTAATGGATTATCATGTTATACTCTAAGAAATTTGCAATAAATATTATATTAGGTTTATTGATTATTAATAATCAATATTATTAATATTGAAGATAATAGAAAGTCGGGAATTCATTATTTGCTCTGTCTTTTCATTCTGTCTTTTATCTATACTTTATATTTACTCAAACAATGGGTAAAATTTTAGATATGACAAATTTCAATATTTTCTTTCCATTTACTTTGCATATATTCTTTCATTACAGGCATATTACCTTTTACATTTATTACCCTTACAGAAAACTGAGAAAAAGTGGAAAATAATGTATAACGAACAATTTCTCATTTCGCGTTTATGCACGTAGCAACACTAGACGAGCGTAGGTAGAAAGTTGAGAAAAAGAAAAAAATTGGCGAACGTTCGGTGAAATCATAAATCTTCGTGAATTCAACCACTCTTCTTGTCGGTGGCTGCACGAAAGCAATATCTCGATAACGAATCGATGTATCTACGACCGGAGAAGCTGCTTCTAGTTGTTCAGACGAAGAATGTCAGTGTCTCTAACGAAAAATGTTTCTCCGTTTTGAGCTATTCATTTGTGAAAGGATTCAGAACTATTATTTTTTTCCAAATTTTCCAATTAGATAAACTTATTTATATCCAGAAAAATTTAAAATATTATTATTATAAATATTATTGTATTTATACTGTATCATTTAATGACATACATACACACACATTACAAATTATTTTTATCAAATATATATAAAAAAATATTTATATTTTAATAAATAAGATTATTTAATATATAATTGTTTTATCCAAAGATATAAACTAAAATAAAATTATATTAAACAAATTTAATATAATAGATTATTATTTATAATCTTGACAAATTAATTTATAGAAATTTGTAGATCTCTCTTTTTTAATCTGGAACCTTGAGTTGCGTCGGATTAGGCAATGAATGGCAGCTGGCTCTTGTTTGAATTTGAGTCAGGGTCGACAAGTCTCGCTCGTGAGTTATCGAGTCTTCTTCGTGTGTACTAAAATAGCGACTGCGATGATTACGGTGGTTCTCGATCAAATTCCGAAGACTGTGAAACATAGATGTGTGTACACTATAAACGCCGCCATAAAGTTATAAAACTACAGAAAACGACATCGGACAAAAAGAAATATCATAATACAATAAATGTATTAAATTCTAAAAATATTGGTGATAATTCGACAAATTGATATATCATTTAGTATATATTTTCTTTGTATTCAACAAATCTATTTTTTTCTATAGCTTTTTGTTAAACTATTTATTTTAAATTCAATTTTGAAATTATAAAAATTGTTATAAATATCGCACAGAAATATATTAAAAGTATTACAATGTTCATAAATATAACCATCCTTTCTATCAATGTTAAAATAAAATTAGATTTTTGAGATTATTTAAAAAAAAGAGTATTTACAAAAAAAGAGTTTAGGCATTTAAATAACATATAATAATTTCTGTATAATTTTTATGATATATTTAGCTGTCATATTGAGATGTTTCTAAATTCGGCTTTTCATCAGTCTAAGCTCAATGTAACGAGCAAGATATTGTAATTGGCTTTGGCAAAGGGACTAGTTTGTCATTGCATAACGATTGTATAACTGTGATTGCACTTGGAGAAGTGACTATAGCGTATTAGGCATCCTATGCAAATTATGTCACGTAATTATCTCAATGTCGATGAAATCAGGATTAAGAAAGTTTCACACAAGTGACAATCGCTGCTACTATATTAACTAATATTCCTTGTCGAAAATTCTAATTATCGATAAACGGTGATCTTAACATATTGATGCAACAAATATATAATATTGTATTATATTACATGTCTAGAGCTAATTAATTTAAATTGTAAAATCCTTTTTCTAATATAAAAGTTAATTAAATCAGCAAAATACATTATTTAATACAGCTTTATTTAATTTAATGAACAAAATTCTTGCAGCCGCAGACTGTTCGCAATGTCATATGTTGTTTCCGATAATTTGCATGAATATTCGCATCTCACAATATTTCATTGCAATACAAAACTGGATATTGACATTTTCAATTAAATATTAATACAATAATTTATGAATTGAAGATCATGAATGATGATTTAACTTACAAATGATGCATCTGTATAAATAAAACATAAATTTATTTATGAATCAACGACATTTCAGTAATTATTGCGCATAAAATTATCTGGATGCATAACATAAAATCGTTAGACTGCGTGAGAACTGATTCAATTAACTATAGAAAAATAATATCTATTTTAATATAAAATATTCTTTCAATTTTTATAACCATATTTTACATAATTTTAATTTAGTTAGGCTTGCAATCAGTTTGTATGAACTATCGATTTTTATAACAGAATATTACAATATATATTAATGCATCAATTATTCAATCACATAACAATTATTAAAACTCTTAATTGATTAAATAATTTGACAAATTTTAATACAGAAACTAAAATATCTCTACAATATCTTACAAGTCACGTTCCTGGAATTTTCAAAATATATGGAGACTTGCGCATCGTCTGGCAAATCGCGGTCGTCACTTGGCAGGCTATCACAAGAAACTTTTGTGGAATCTTGAGAAGGATCTTTGCCACTACTACTACACGCCATCACATGTCCTGTTCAAATATTTCTCTATTTCTTTTATAATTTGTTAAATTAATACAATCTACATGGTTGTGTAACAAAGGTGAAATATATATTAAAGTTCTCTTTATTTTAATTAAATTTTTATTTTAAATTAATTTATGTATTACCTTATTTTATATAACATTCTGATTCATCATAATTACGTACCTGAAAGAATACATATGTACAGTAATCTTGTATACAAGTAGTAAATTGTCAGAAATTCTGTTTAAAAGTAAAAAATATTTATATTTAGTACAAAAGATATTTTATTATTATTAAATATTTTAGAATATTTTATTTTTTTAATGGGAAATGTTAATAAGTAAACAATTCTTACTATAGATATTATTAAATTGTATTTTTATGCTTTGCATTTTTATATTGTAAATCTTTATTTTATGTAATGGATGTCAGCAAAATGG